GGTCCTCAAAGGGTTCCTTAAAAGCAGCCCTCCAGTCTTCTTTGCCCCCTCTTAGTTTTCCAAAATCAAAGTGTGCTTGGATTGTGTATTCCTGCACAACAGAGGGTTGGAACAGATGACCCTTGGTGGTCTCTTCCAATTTTAGGATTCTGTTTCTATGCTTCTATCCATCCATACGGTTCTCTTCTGGGACCTAAGAAAGCAAATCCTCTCCCACCTGGGCCTCATCTACCTGCTCACCATTCTCTGGCAGCTTTCTACCTTTTACAAACAGGTCAATTTCTTTCCCTCTGCCTCCTGCAGAAGTATGAAAGGAGACAAACCCAATATGAGAAAGGACAGTGTTTGCAAGGTGGGGGAGGAATCCCAATTTCCCAGGATGCTTTGCACAGTGACCTGAAAGTCGCCCTTCACCAAGAGAGAAATACCAGCAGGTGAGTCCAGGGTGAACCTGCTGAGAGATATTTTTATCAGGAAGTCTGTTTTCTGTTTATTTAGATGTGCCTGAAGTCTCAGGTCTCTGCTCCCAGTCCAAGGGCTCAGTGGATGCTGCCAAGCTGGGAAGGTTGTCTTCTTGCCAAGGACAGCTCTTGGGAGTCACTCTCCATCCCGCTCTTGGGCACACCTCAGCTTTGCATAAAAACATCACAAGTGAGACACGTTGCTTGCATTGCATAGCCTTTGGCCTCCTCCAAAGACTTGCAGAAGGCTGGAGGATGCATTCATAACATAAATACAGTGGGGGTCTTGGTATCTGCTGGGGCTTGGTAGCGGGACCCCCGTGGGTACCAAAATCAGTGGATGCTCAAGTCCCATTAAATACAATGGCAGAGCAAAATTGATGTCCCTTATATAAAATGGCAAATCAAAGTTTGCTTTTTGGCAATTATATACTTTTGAAATATTTTCAAGCCATGGGTGTTTGAATCCATGGATCAAAAATCCGTAGCTATAGAGGGCCAACTGTACAGCTTGAGTCTCATCCGGGATTCCAAAATCTGAAATATTCTAAAATCAAAAATTGTTTGTTGAAATAGTGACACTTTTGCTTTCTGATGGTTCAGTGTACACAAACTT